TGCAACACCAAGAATACAATACATCCTGCAACACCAAGAAACCTGACCAAGAATACGTCCTGCAACACCAAGAAAACTGACCAAGATCGAATACCATTYATCCTGCAACACCAAAAACCTCACAAAGGATTCAATAATGAACAGAGAGACAGTTTATGAATAGAAACGAAGATACATCATACAACTGAAAACATGAGCATTGAATTGTTTTATAGACTTACTAATTGATTTTGGTAGGCCGTGACTGCGATAAAGTTTGTTTCTGGGAAAGTAAACGTCTTCATTCTTTCTGATTTTAGGTTGATAACCGATGCGGTGTGATCTTTCTTTCTGATGATGTGAACTCTTGGCTGGTACTTGTGCATTGAATTTAAGATTAGCTACAGAAGAATAGAACTTGATGAGACGGGAAAGATCTATGTGAAATGTATGGAAAGTTAAGGACATTTGACTGGGTACGTAAGTATAAAGATYGTAAAATCTAACAATCTAAGCTACGGAATTCCACTAAAAAAAYATCTTAGATGTCTCAACTTTATCAGCATCACAAAGTTTCGGTCTAACTTGAAATCAAGTATAACCTTACTATCGGAAATWACTTGAAAATCCAAGAAACTTAAGTCAGTGTGCTTGTTTTCACAGCATCCAGCCCTCACTCCATTCATTTTCATCACTTCATTCATCTCTATTCGTGGTAGGTTGCAATATCCCATGAATTCCCTAGGCGGGATTGATATTTTTTACAAGATTACTTGACTTGATCATAGACATTTTGGTAGTCGATTAACGAGCTTTATCATACTGCGGAGCTGCTGTCTTATTGGTGCCGTTTTTATAGGGTTTGTTTTTGCGATTCATTTTTTATCTACAGTTCAGGRGCTCGAGGCTACTGTCGTTTTTTCTCCTCCTTTTTTTTATATTTTGTAACTAATTCAACTAGCTTAATTTTAGTTTAATGAATTCGACAACGTTTCATAAATTACGATAACTAAATAGGTAATCAATTTGTTCCAATTACAACCTATCCCGCCCTACATGCCTTAACCTTGCCTTAACCTTAAAGTGGTCTTTGTTTTTCTGTGATTCAATACTTTAAGAAAAATAGCCTTTTAATATGGCCATCAGGGGAGAATTACTAGTAATTTTCCTATTCTGTGTATATTTTAAAAAAACTTTCGYCCTTTCTTTGCATAAAGTGACGAATTGTCCTTGTTTTTGCGGGTGCATGAAAAATTTTAATAGCCTGTGTTTAACAAATCTGTGGCATGCACTCGTTCCATCATCCATCAATTTGGATGTGTTGATTTTTTTTAAATAAGCAAAAGTCAATAACTTGAGGGAGAACAAAACCTCCCCAAGAAAGGAGAGAACCACTAAGGCAACAATCAACTGTATATATTTATCCCGAAACGGATGTATGATGTTAGGTCCATTTAGATATAATGTTGGGTCCATGTATATACGATGTTGCATGGGTCCTAGGATTAATTGAACCTAAATATGTAAATACGACTACAACACCCGTGCTTCCCTTTCTAATATTTTTTATTCTTTAAGCTAGATATTTTTTATGAAGTCGTGAGAAACTGAAAGAGCTTTGCTTCTCTTACATCTTGGCCCCGTGTTGATGAAAATTCACACAGTTCTCAAATTCAACTATCATCACGTTCACAGCCAAAAACTGSTGCACTTTGCGAAACACTTTATTTGATGAAAAGAGGATGACACGAAAGAAAATACCATCACAATTTACATCAATGACTGATAGAATGTTGTTATGTTTTTCAGTACAAWTGAAGCTGTTTCGCTGTGCACCATSCCTTTAAAASCAAGCCAGTAAACCTATGACAGGAAGACTTAAAGACTAATAAAGAGCTTGAGTGTTTTGATAATACGCTCTATGGTCGTTCAAATGGGACATCATGAGGTATGTTTACAGTTYTTCAACACTTCATTAATTTAAATTTATAAATTTAAAGAATGTCTCGAGAGGAAAGGAAAGAGATGTTGTTGATGAATAACATTCTATTTTAAGACCACCAAAACATAGCTCTGAACTCGAAAGGATAACAATTATCAATAAATTTGTATTAATTAATTAAATGGTTCGCACTGCACTGGAGCCCAGGAAACTGCATGTTTTTCAAAGCCAAATAACACTTTTAAGGCTTTTTCTTCGTTTTTCTTTCTTTCTTTTTCAAAGCCAAATAACACTTTTAAGGCTTTTTCTTCGTTTTTCTTTCTTTCTTT